TATGTTGTTACCTAACAGTTTTGGTGTAAAAAGCCTGCATATATCGGTATCGGGTGATATCGGTATCGGAAATTGAGAGTTGGGCAATATCGGAATATCGGATATCGGCAGAAAAGCCAATATTGGACATCCCTATCTTTAACCTTATTATAACCTTCTATATAAATACTAAAGTTCTCTTACTGTGCATTTCTCTTCCAGTAGTAACGGTGGATCTGACTGACAGCAGCATGGCTCCTGGTGGGCGGGGCTACCAGAGACTCCTCACCGGTCTGAGGTCACGACTTCAACTGAAGACCGACCTTCTGCTGTCACATCATCCAGGTGAGTTACATCATCACTATCCAGGTGGTGCCTATTGTAGATGAAACCACGCCTACTTCTGTACTCGTGCAGAGCGAATGTTTCCCGTTACGGGTCCAGAGGAGGAGTGAGCACAGTGGCGTGGATTTGTCTAAACTATGCTGGAAAAAAGTGTTTACATCATCAGAAGTCACACAGAAACAGCTAATGCTAAGCTAATACTGTGTAGTGGAAACTAACCCCTGCTGTCTGTGCTGCAGGGGGCGGAGACGCTCTGCAGGCGCTCCTGTCTCGTTACAATTGGTCGGAGCACAGACCAGAGGTCTGCAGTCGCACCCTGACGGACCTGCCCTGCCCTGCCCTGCTGACCTCAGACCTCCTGACTTCTGACCCTCACAGCTTCCTGGAATGGATTGGAGCCGTGGACGCCGGTGTCAGCTGGTGAGAAAAGACTGACGCCATGAACTGTGAGCTCTGTCATGTGACCCCGTTGACTCTTCTTTTTCTGTGATTTCAGTGACAACTCGTCCAGCAGCTTCCTGTCCTCGCTAGTGTGTCCTGAGCCAAAGACCATGTTGAGTCAAGCTCTGATCGTCTCCATCTGTGGACTGCTGCTCCCCCAGGACCTCCACCGGCTGATTCACCAGACCAGGTTGGTCCGTCAGACCAGGGTTAGGACACACAGTAGTAGCAGATGCAGTAGTATATATCTGTAGTACTGTTACAGTTCAGAGCTGACAGTAATGAAGTGACTCTAATGTAAAATTTTCACCTGTCCTGCAGGTGTTACCTGGAGCAGCCTCGGCTGGAGTCCTGGGTGTCCCTGACGGTTCATGGTTTTGCTGACAGTCCGGTGTCGTGGGGGGGCAGTGAACACGGAGTTCTGAGAGGAGGAGAGAACTTCTACAGTCTGCTGATGTTCCACGACCAATCGTACCACCTCCACCTGGCTGCAGGAGCACATGACACATGTCCACCATGATGTCATCAGCTGAGGTCTTTAATCTGGATCAGGTTTTGTTGTAGAAACCGTTGCTATTTGTGTACCTGCTGCCTCGTGGTGGCCCTCAGGTTGTTTTAATAAACTGATCCCATTTTCATCCCTGATCAGAAACTGACGGATGTTTTATTTGTTCATTAGTTATTTTTATGAAAATGTAAATATTGTTTTTCTGCAGTTTCATTTTATTTAATTTTTTTTCTTTCATAATAAAAACACATTTTGAACCATTTGGATTTGTTTTTTTATTGCTGAATCTGTCAGTCAGGGAACCACAGAGCGTCGGTGTTACGGCATAGGGAACTAGAGAGTCGGTGTTACGGCGTAAGGGAAACAGAGAGTCAGTGTTAACGCGTAGGGGGAAACAGAGAGCAGTCCGGTTGTTGACGGCGTAGGGAACCAGAGAGAGTCGGTTGTTGCGGCCGTAGGGAACCAGAGAGAGCCGGTGTTGCGGCGTAGGGAACCAGAGAGAGTCGGTGTTGCGGCGTAGGGACCAGAGAGAGTCGGTTGTTACGGCGTAAGAGGAAGATCTGATTGGCTGTATGGAAATAAGGTCTCAATGTACAGATGGTATTCAAATTAATGCACACAGAGGATGTTGATGACCTTTAATATCTGTTGTTCCTAAAGGTTCAGTGTTTATATGAAATAAACAGAATAAGAGTCTTATAACAGTCTGCAAACCTGAAGCTGCTCAGATCCTGATGCTGTTCAGACCCCCACGTCAGTCGTCAATGTTTACCCAGAATTCATCACGGTCACACTGCAGCATGATCATACAAATTAAATTAGACTGAATTCAAAGTCCTGTCAGCGCCCCCTTTAGGCTGCAGAGTTCACCACATCCTTATCTATTATTAGACTGAGCATCAACCAAGGTACAGTTTGTCTTGAGGGTGGCGCTAGAAGACAGACTGAGGAGCTGCAGGTGTGGACTCGTATCTGTGAACGATTATCTCCTCTTAAAAAAAACATGAACCACCAGAGGAAACATCATGGTCAGTGTTAGTTCATTTCCTGTTTGTATTCAGCCGTCACTTCCTGTTTATTCCTCCATGTAGAAATTAGGGATTAAAATCGGAATTCTGGGACGAAGTCATTGAAAGAACAGTCCAACATCTCATCAGATACTGTTAGCCTAGCTTAGCACAGGTGATTTTCTTTATCAAAACACTGGACAGAAGTCCCTTTGGAAATCTGCTGTTTTAAGCATACAGCACGTTATAAACATACAGTCGGATTTAATGAGCTGTTTAAACACAGAGAAGGTCTGTTCAGGTTCGCTTCACACTGACACAGGTTTAAGGCCCACAGTTTAGTCTGGCAGGAACAACAGTGATGATGACGTTATCATCCAAAGGAAGCGCGTGAAGCTGAATAACTGAGCACCCAGAGTGAAACCCTGTGGAACCCCACAGTTGAGATTACAGTAAACCGGAGAACAAAAGAGTTCACAGTGTCCGACTGTTCTTAAATCAATGTATAACTTAAATCTTAACATGTTCAGTGCTTCCTGTCCAGCTCAGAATCTGCTGAGTCACTGCTGCCAGCTTAGAGCTGCTGAGTCAGGGGACCAAAGTTTTGCTCCTGGTTCAGGTCCTTGTCCATGACCAGGTTCTAGCAGAGTTCGGTTCTTCTCTGCAGGTACTGCAGGATGGAGTCGGTTCCCTGCGATGAGCCCCAAACTCTCTTCAGAGCTTCACACTCGCGCTCATTAGCTTGCTCCAGAGCACTGCGGCTGGTGTTCCTCATCAGGGCTTTAGACTCACGCAGAACCTGCAGGACAGGAAGTGGAACCGTCACCACCGTGGACGGCGAAGAAGAAATCAGATGAGAAGAAATGGATATTAAAATATATAAACACAGCTGTTCCTTAATATATCCAACCCTCTGTAATGTTTGCTTCAGTTACTGAACGTCTGTTTTCTGCTGACACTTTATTTCCGTTGTCTCTACATTAATGTCACATTCATTACTCTTATCGGCTTTTTATGTGCGGGACTTTTGTTGCACTTGCAGTGGCGTGTTAAGTGTGGTTGTGTCGGCTCTCTACCGCTCTCTCCTCCGAGCAGAGGAAGCCCCACCCACTGTGAAACTCTGTAGGCGGGGCTTCCTGCGCTCACACTTACAGAGCTCAGAGTGGAGGAAAGAGACAGCAGAGAGCTCACGATGGCGGCAGAAATACCAATCATTGAGATCGCTAACATAAACTGTGGATACGTGTTTGTGACTGACCAGCGAGTTGACGGTCACCAGCTCTTTGATTCGAAGCATCACTTCCTGTGTGAAGGTCCCCGGCCAGAGAACCTGAGACACCAAACCTTTAGAACACGCCTCCTGAGCCGTCAACTTCCTGCCGCTCAACAGCAGCTCGTTAGCCTGGAACAGAACAGAGCGTTATAAGCTACAGGCTTGAGGAGTGAAGAGAACAGGAACGAGATGGGAAGAAAAGCGACAGTCGCTGCAGAGTAGAAGTATACCAGCTGAGAGAGTAAACAAACAATATTGCTAGCGCATATTACCTAATACATATCAGAGACGATCATGGATTAATATTTCACAATGCATTGTTGCTCAGTTCAAAAATAATCTTCCGGCTTTTGTGCATTTCAGCTTATTCTCTGAGTACTTTGCTTGCTCTGTGAGGAAAGAGACAGAGCAGAGATGAGGGAAAAACCATCAGTGCAGGAAATCAACGAGTATAGATGGTTCGAGTGTGTGCTCAGGCAGCTGCAGCTTCGGGACCAATCAGACAGGTAGAGATGGCGGTAAGTTTGGGAAAGCAGGCTCTAGAGGAGCTGCTCTAGATGGTAATTGTTAATCGCACAGCACGCTTGCATTTAGTCATTGTTCTGTCTCTAAACACCAGAAGGCCACAGAATGTGGATGCCGAGAACTTAAAAAGGCGGTTTTAGTTAGTTGCACAGTTTTATAATGTATTTATTTTATATATCTCTGTATGAAGTGTTCAGCAGCTTAGTTAAATGTACATTAAAGGATAGTTTGCTTTTTTGGGGAATACATGTATTTGGCTTTCTTGCAGAAAGTTATGATGAGAAGATCAATACCACTCTTATGTCTGTACAGTAAATATAAAGCTGGAGCCAGCAGCCAGTTAGCTTAGTTTAGTTAGTTTTTGCATAAGGACAGCAGCTAGCTTTGTCTAAAGATAACAAAGTCCACCTAGCAGCACCTCACAAATTACACATTTTAATTTAGTTTGTTTATTACGTACAAAAACCAACAAGTTGGCAGGCTTTGTTACCTTCATACAGCCAGGCTAGCCATTTGCCCTGTTTCAGTTTGATGCTAAATTAAGCTAACAGTTTCTATCCAGCTTTATAATACAAAATTAACCTTACAGGCATAACGTTGGTATTTATTCTCTCATTCTAACTCTCAGCAAGAATAAGCATATTTCAAAAATATTAATAATAATAGTCTTAAAACAGACTGCATATTTAGAAGTCTTCATGAATATGTGTTTCATATAAAGTTGATCTCCAGTGTGAATTCAGACAATATAAATTGTACTTAGTAAAAGATAAAAATATAAACAGATAAAAAACTAAAACAGAACAGATAACAGCATTTTCATTAAATTAAATACTGACAAAACAACACATTGATGCTTGTGTAAGATGTATTATTAACAAAGTAGTTTAACTTTAGCAGTAAAACACAAACTCAGAAAAGCATTACGCTATTTGAAATACAACAAAAGATAATAATTCTACGCGCGAGACACATGCTCATTATTTGACTTGTTTTGTTTGTAATTTTCACTACTATCATCCATTTTACTTCCAATTTCCAAAGCCATTATAATGCAAATTACAGCAGTGGTTAGAGGAAAGATTAACTTTTATTTCTTCTCTTCTCCTCCACCTGTTTGCAGGCAGAGTAATGAAACAAACGCTTAGAAACAAGACACAGAAAAAAGAATTTCATTGCCATGCTGTGTTACAAATGGTGTTCAGTTTCCAAGCAAGCAACTATCTGATACCAGCACTAAGAGGAGTAAACTGCAGCCCTGACCCTTTATTGATTTCCTGACCTGAAGATAATGGGAGTTTCATTTGATGAGAAATTCAGAGAAGATCCAGAAGAGAAAGTGCATGAGTGCATCTGAAGTACGTGTGTCCAGAGACCAAGACCCTACACTGCTGCAGGAAGACATACATAAACTAACTCTGCTAAAGATAGGAAAGAGAGTTTGCTACTGGCAGGGTATGCTGTTTGCTCACTGCGTATCTGGCTCGAGACCTACAGTATGCTCTGATAATCTCTGACACTAACTTGTTGTCGTCTACTGTCCATCCACTCTCTCATTTCCAAGTTACCTCACAAATAGAGTTGATTCTAATCATTTACAAACAGAACTCATCTATCTCCTCATCCAGCTTTGAGGAGAAGCTGCTAACCTTTTGTTCAATTGGAGCGATGGAAACCAGCTGTCAACTTGTTGGCATACTTTACATATCCAGCAGACATGGCACATTGGCATTCATTTAGAGTCCATTCTGACCCTGCTGAATGCAGTCAATATTCTTCCCCTTTAAGCTCTGTTTTTGGTCTATACTAAATATCCTGAGGAAATATCTGACTCAGCTGCTGAAGGTGCTGCTATGTTCTTTATCTGTTTGACCTTTTTTGCTGTTTGTATTAAGTTTGTATTAAAGGTAAAAGAAGCTATAAAAGTCTGTACAGCTGAAAGAACTGCAATTTTAATAATTCCTGTGTGTTCGTCAATAGTTATAGACCTCTTACAGACCACATTGTTATTATAAAAAAACAGGTTGTAACAGTCTTTAAGGTCTAAGCTGGCTAAATACCAACTGAAATGAATGACACTACATGTGTAAACAAGCACAACTCTATCCATCCTTTAACATACTCACTTTCTTTTCATCTTCTCAATTTTCTGACAAACCGCGTCTAGGTTGGCGGTCTCGTGGCAAGAGGATTAACGTTGAAAT